CTGTGACGATGCATTTTGCAGCGATATAGGTATTTTTAACTTTTTTTTTTTTTTTTTCCTAGAAATATCACAACAAAATGTACAGAGGCCCTAAAATTTTCAGATTTTTTCATATATTTTTCTGAGCTCGAAAAATCACCTGATGCAGTACTTTTTTTTTTTTTTTTTTTTTTTTTTTAAGAAGTTGTCACTTTATATTTCAAAACAGAAGTGGTGGAGGCCGGGGACCTATCAATTCTACCCGGTGTTGACGAGGTAAAACCTGCTGGAAACCGGGTCCAGCTTCCCACGACCGCCCAAACTTAATCGGACAGGACTCCTCAAAATAGCCTTGAAGCACAGAAAAGGAGGCTGAACTAATCAACAACAAAACCTCTCCAATCCTTCAGCCTATAACACAATATCCTTGCAGCGCAGAAGAAAGGTACAACACYGGCGTGTTTCTAAGGTCGAGACTCTATTGGCAAGGACTACAGATTATAATCTGCAAATCCGAAAATGCGCAAGGCAATTCACGAGRAATTTTACAGTTTTAACCCTAAAATTATTCCAAAACTAACTAAATAGACCCAAATTTCAACCCAAAATCGTACCAACTTCAGACCAAACGTGATGGTGTTGTCTCCCAAACATAAACGATTAAACACCCACCCATCCAAATTCCATATTATTAAAAAACAGCCACATGTGGAAAGACCAAGAAAATTCCCATACAGAGGAAAGGAAATGAATGACTGCACCTAAAGAGGAGGAAAAGGAAACTGACGATAATTTCCAAGTGACACAACGTCGAGCGTAGAACACTCCCCTCACCACTCAAGGCATGGGTGACCCTGTGACTCCCTCCCTAATCTAAAGGTCAGCCATYCCTCYAACCACGATTAAGGCTRGGAATTGACTTACCTATTGCGCCCGGGCGACVGTCCCACCGCCACTAGTAAGCCTCCCACTCCCACTAATGGTGCCGCCACACCAAGGATTTCAGAGCTGCTCAGACCCATCACGGAACTCATGTCTTTATCATCTAATTTTACAGATACTGCCGTAGGAAATTTCACTGGAGCATTAGGCGCAGAATTCCCAGGAAAACCAAGGGACGAGCGTAGAACACTCCCCGTACCACTCAAGGCTTGGGTGACCCAACATTCCTGTTTCCTGGACTTAAAGAACCATCACTTTTACGAAATAAACTACGGTGTGTCCTAAGAGACAGAGTGCCCTGAAAGAGTCAGTCTCAACAGGAAGAGTCCCGGGAGCTTACCACATGTAAAAACCCAAACCAACTTCGACGTATATATTGATTTCCCAAATACTACCGTAGGTATTTCAGCAATGAATAGTGCGCAGGAAATCCCAAGATAACCGAGGGTCGAGCGTAGAACACTCCCCGTACCACTCAAGGCTTGGATGACCCTACACTCTCCTGGGCTTAAAGAACACCCACTTTTACGAAATAGACCGCGATATGCCCTAATAGGCAGGGTACACTCAGAAAACCACCAATAACGAGAACATCCCAGGGGCTTACTACAGGTATAAACCCAAACAGGCTTCAAAWTTCCCCGCGATGTCGAATAAGGCAAATGACACTAATCAACAAGAGSAAATTACAAAATTCAACTGCAAAACAACTCTAAACTCCATAAGACTTCGAGGCTTCACAGGCCCAAGAGAAACTCATGTCTTCATCATCTTCAATTCTGGAAACTGCCGTAATTAAATGCATGAAACGCAGTGTTCCAGGATGGCCGTAGGTCTAGTGTGGAACACTCCCCGCACCACTTAGGTCACCTATGGCAAACCCAATCAAACCAAACGCCGAACACAAAACAAGTGATCAACATACTGCCTTGCGACAAAATACGCCAGCGAGACTTGCTGCAGCCCTTAAGTGTGCCGGAGCGCTGCCACCGCAGCGGCACGCTCTCCCACTGCGTCCAGATACGCCGCTCTGCTTTCCAAACTTTCGTAATGAGTAGAGCAGTCCAGCTATCCTGTTGTGGCGTGCAGCACGCAGTCCTTAGATGGTGAAAAGGTAGATAAAACGACCACGCCTTGCTATAGTCCTTGGGCAAGCGCAACCAAAAGCTCTCCCACTGCGTCTTGATGCGCCGCCTCGCCGTCCGTGCTTACTTCATGACTGACGCCATCGAAATACCATGCCCTGTGTGTCCCACGCCCGGCCTTTGAGTATTGAAAAGGAGCCCCCCCTTACAAGCAGGAGGCTTAAGGGGAGGACGGCTCCTCTGGTATCTGGATCCTATTAGGTATATAGGTTGGTATAGACTTCAGGTATAGAGGATGGGACTGCCAGTATGCCATGGCGATGAGTGCAGAGCACTCCCTCCCCACTCMAGGGCAAGGTTACKCCAGGGCACTGTCACCATAGCTCTCACACAGCTATGGAGCCTGGCAGGGTAGGCGCCACGTGAAGGATCAGCGTCACCACGTCTCGACGTCACGACC